TTAAATCAGAGCAGGGTTCCCATTTCAGTCCAGTGAGTTGCATTCAGCACCTTCAAGATGATGCTATTGCAGTTTATGAAAGCTGGATACATGTAGTCTCAGAATCACCTGTTTTCCATTTCCATGTTGTGCCATTAGTCTTTTTGCGTATATGTATTTTCTTCCCTATACACAGGCCCTGTTAATTAGTAGAGTTACAGTATCTTTACTGTGTTTTCTGCCAAACTTCCAGTGTGTTACAGTGCCAATGAAATGGGAGAGAGGATTTTATAGGGAGATTACTTCCTATTATTCAGGCTGTACTTGTTCAGGAATTACTTAGTTAAATTAATGCCATTACTTCTCTCATGACTGTGTTTTCCTTTGGTCAGCTTTGATCTAATGTTGTCTCAGCAGCTCAGTTTTTAATGGCATTTTGTTTAGTTTGACTTCATGAGTCTGGTGCTGTGCTTTCTCCATTGCAATGCTGCAAGGAAAGCTTGGTGGAATCTCTGCTCCCCCTTGTCCAGAGTTGCAGTCAGCACTGGGGTGAAAATGGATTTCTTTACAGGTTCTTCCTGTGGCTTCTTTTGCTTTAAAATGCCGAAATTAAAAAGTTTGGATTCTTCCAAGGCTCAGTGAGACCTGGCTGTGAGAGTGAGGGGCAGCACTGGTAGAAGGGAATGGGTGGGCAAATAGCTGCGGGGTCTGGGGCAGAGTCAGTGAGTGCAGCTCTTAGGTCCTACTCCTGGAGGTAAAGCAAGCTTGATGTGCTGCTGAGAGTCATCTCACATAGGTGTTAATACCTCCTGGGCTGTCTAAACTGCTAGTGTATTTAATACCTTCCCTCTCCACTGTCATGGAGAGGAGGAACCAGCAGCAGAGCTATTCCAGCCTATCCACAATACCATGAAAGACATTTTGTCTCTGTGACTTGTTGTGCACTTAGAGGGAGTTGGTGTGATTTGTTCCCCCCTTGTCCCACAGGAAAACAGGGACTTGGGCAGGGGAGGAGAGAAAGGGGAGAAGATCTCCTCCCTGCTGTTGAAAGTATTGGCACTGATAAATATCAGTCTACATAGTAATTCCAGATATGTTTAGAATAATTAAAAGCAGTAGTCAGTAGGCATATAATTCTAACTCTGATAACTTCTATTTCATTTTGAAATCAGAAAGAATATCTAAATGGGAGAATAATTTGAGAATATGTTCTGCCTACTGTGAAACCGAGTCATTTAGCAACTATCATTTGAGTGCCTATTACATCTATAAAAGCTTCTTCATAATGCTAGTTAAGACAAGGGGGACAAGTTCTAAAGGGTTTCTGAAAGTACACTCGCAAATGGTTTACGAATGCTGCTTACCCAGAAATGCAAGATTTGAATCTGCCCGTGCTCTGTATAAAATATCAACTGGGCCTGTGCAAACAAGTATTTAGACATTCAGTTTTGGGTGCTCTTTAAAAGCTTTGTCCTGGATGCATCACTGAATCTGTTTTTGAAACAGATTTAAGAGCAGGGAAGCGATTTGGCCAAACTGCAGGTACCTCTAACTGAGAAGGCAGGATGCTTTGCTTATTTTTTTCTTTTTTATTCATTAATCTATATGTTATATAACATAAACTCTCGATTGAAGGAAGCAGAGACCAGAAATGTCAGGAAATGCAAACAAGTTCTGGCTTATGTAAACAGTCCTAATTTTTCAACTTCATCAGAATATTGAATGGTTCACTTTCATTATCATTTTTCTGCTGCCTCTACTTGTATCCCAGTCCATATCCAGCTTTGAAACTGATTGGAGTCTCTCAGGCATGCCTGTCAATGCTCACTCAGAAGAAAATCAAAAAAAACAAAGAACAAAAAGAAGCCATTAGAGTTCCTTTTTATTATGAACATAAACAAAACTTCTAAGGAAAGGCAATAATATACTGTCAAAAACTTTCACCAATGATGTTGTACTGGAATAGCTCAAACCTCTGAGGAACCTCCTGTTCTGATCACTTCAGTCACCAATTAGACATCAGAAAGTTGACTGGCATGTTTTAAAAATATCATTCTGCTGTAAATGCAGGGCAGTGTGCTTCATTTTTGCCACTATCACATTTGACAGTATTTCAAATACTATTTTCTTTGAGTAATGAAAGTGTGAGTCATTAGTTTGGTCTTTTTAATGATCTGTGTTTTGAATTTGCATACTTCCTCTGTCTTCTGGATATGTTCGGAAGGCACCGACCAGAATGATAATGATACAGACACATTATTTATTAAAAGAACAGTATCAATCCAGTCATGTGCTGCAAAGATCTGAAAAGAAGGGTAGCATAAAATGAGGCATTTTTTGTTAATGTAAGAATCTAGTAACAGCATGTTTCTTGTCCTCCACAATTACTATATTCAAAATGGTTGGTTAAATCATTGAGGCTCATTTTTAAGGTGAAATAGCCAGAAAGTAGTTCTTGACTAATTTCAGAAGACAGCTCTTTGGACCTTTTTTTTTTTTTGGCTAAAATAAATACTATTCTTAATGTCTTGCCTTCAGTTCTGTAAAAAGCACATGTTGCTGGCTACAGCTATTTGATACTGCAAAAAAAAAAGATAAAATGGCTGCATAATACATTTAAATAACTTTTCCTCGTGGGATGTCTGAAGGATAATAATGAAATGTCCTACTAGGTTTTAGTAGATGGGTCATCTCCCTGAAAATACAATAAAGATATTTTCGGCACTGTGTATTCAGAGAGCTAAATCTTTATAAATGTGCTTTCGTTGGTGTGTTCTTACCTCTTGACCAGTTTCTAGTCACCTATCCTATCCAGTCTTAATTTTGTTGCAACCACACATTCAATTCTGTATGAAAGAAATCTGCATCTACAGGTATAAGAACACTGTGTGAAGATATGCAAACATTTTCATCAGTGCGTAAAAGAGTTCATCCACAGTAAAAGCTAGAACAAAAGCTCAGCTGCTTGCTACGTTTCCTGAAAATGTAAGAAACTTGCCAAGAAATTAATTTTCCTTCTTTATATTCTGTTGAACATTTTTAATGATAATTTGCCATGGAAAGGAAGTCACCGTATCTGTGCTCCTTTTCCATAAGGCATGTGCAAATCTGCAAGTGCTTTATTGCAGTACCTGTTCGTAAAAGTGGCTTCCCTGCGTAAGACTTCTGGGCTGTTCCTGCAACATGTACCGCTACTGACTGCACACCCTACACCCTCTTGGATAAGATTTGCCAGAGGAGGGGGTGGTTCAACACTGTAGGCAAGTCTATGATGAGATGTTATAAATGTGCAGTCAGCCTTTTTTGTCCTGCTATAGGAGAGGGGGAGCCCAGCATCTTGGGTTAGGAGGGAGCCTTCTTCAGCATTAGTTACAGCATTAACAAGTAGCAGGGAGGAGAGCACTAAAGGGATGTGTGGGGGGAGACGGAAGAGGGGAAGAAGAAATATGCCCTTTTCCTCAAATTTTCTATTCCTTAGACTTCTCTTTCATTTTTCTCACTTTCTCTCTTACTTTTTTCTCATGCCTCTTCCCCTGTCTTAGTCTCCTTTCGTCTCCTCTTTCCAGGTCTCCCAGTCATTATCTGACTTTCACCACCTCTCTGCCACATTTGAATTCTCTCTGTTACGGCCACTTACGGTACCTCCTCCTCTGCCTGTCGTTCTTGTCCTCCCTCAATATCCTGTCGCAGTCCAGTGATCATCTGTAATTCAGCAAACGAGAGAGCCCTGTAGCTTATGTTGGTTACAGTTCAGTTGGCCAGCTACTAAGCTTGACTGCTCAGTCTCAGACTGGTTCTAGCTTTACATGTTAAAAGGACGCTTAGTGGATATTTTCATGA